TCCACATTGCTCTATTACAGGAAACTCTCCATTCATCCTGTGACATACACATCACTGGGTATACCCCTTATCCAAGAAAATGTGAAGGTTGCCAAGGGATTATAACCTATATCAGAAATGACATCATGGGGGAAGTAGAGCTCCTTAATTGGCACCCCACAGACGCACATAAAATCACCCTGTGGTATGGCTCATACTTTATGTCATCTATTGTCCCCCAAGTGGCACTCTGAACATCAAGGAACAGAGTACTATCTTTGAGAAGACGGTCATAGCTGGTGACCTTAATGGTCACTCCCCCCCTTTGGGGCTATGCTGACCAAAACAACACAGGTAAGAGGATTGAAGAACTATGTCAGTCCTCTAACCTTATCCTTCTTCAAGATGAGGATTCAACTAAAACACTTCTTCATAGGAGACATGGGACCCTCCACAGACCAGATCTCACCCTGGTCTCTGCTGATCTACACACCTACAGCAGTGAAGAGGTGCTAGACTGTATATCTAGTGAACACCGTCCGGTTCTCCCCAAAATCAGTATATTGAAACACAGACAAAGGAAAAGAAGAACCCGTTGGAACTTCAAGAAGGCAAACTGGGATCTCTTCAGAAAAACAGCTGAGGACACCGTTCAACTGGATGATCTAGACCTTAAAAGTATAGATGCCCTTTATGTTGTACTCACTTCCACCATCTTAGATGCTGGTAAGAAGAGTATCCCACAGGGGTGCAGAACCAACTATAAACCCTTTTGGAATGAGCGCGTGAATAAAGCTACAAAAACTAAAAATGATGCCAGAAATGAATATGAGAAAGATCTAAAAAATATGGACAAGAAACTTAATTACAAAAAGGTTGTAGCAGAGGCTAAACGTATCACCAAGGAATCTAAGAAGGAAGCCTGAACACAGAAGTGTGAGGGACTCAATTTACATCAAAATGGACGTGAAGCTTGGTCACTTTTAAATAACCTCACTGGCGACAAAAGGAAAGAAAACCCCAAAGCACTACACACAGAAACCAAAGTTCTCACCAACGAGTTAAAAAAAAGCCGAACACTTCAACAAACATTTCGCCTTAATTAACAAAAGCAGCAAAAGGAATGACCTGGACAGGGGTCTTCTGAGCGTTCTAAAAGAAAAAAAAGATATTTTATGACACCAAGTATCTTCCAGGACTTCTTAACTAAACGAGAGTTGGACTGTGCAATCAAGAAACTGAAGAAGCGAAAAAGCCCAGGTCCTGATAAAGTACACAAT